CTCAGGCGGGACCGGGCGCGCACGCGCGCGGCCGCGCACCTGCCCCGCGGGGACCCTGAGCGCCCCGCGGGTCCGCTGCGCATCCCGGTCCGGCGCCCCGATTGCCAAAGCCTAGTCGTCCCCACCACCGGCTGCTTTCTGGGAGGTTTCGCGGGAGAGCCGGACCGGCAGCACCAACAGGGTTATTTAGATCCCGCGCACCCGTTTCTGAGGGTTTGGGTTTTAAGGTTTTTGAGGCTTCCCCTCTGAGGGTTTAGGATTTACCTACTTCAAGGGGATAGAGTGGTTGTGGGAATAAAAGCATGTCTATGAAGACTAGGTTCTTTCAGTACCTAGCCCAGTTCCTGCTAAGTACCAGACTCTATAAATTTTGGGGCGGGCATAAACAAGCAAACCAAACATACAATGTTGTGGGTCGGAACGCTTTAGAATTCACAGATTTGAAACTATGCGGTAATGTCACATTCAGAATTGTCTAAGGGATGTCTTAAAGGAACAGCAATGTGAATGCACCACATGGTATGGGCAATTTACCCATATCCTGCATGCTCGTGCGTGCTCCAGGCGTCTGTGGAATTGCAAATCAGAGACCAGGATGGTCTTGTGATGCCAAGGGGAAAAGTCTGGAAGGGTGTTTCTATCCGCCATGTACAGAATAAACTACAAACGTGAAAAAATGAAAAGGCCATATCCAAAGACTTCGTATGAAAGCTGGTTCTATTTACAAAAGCTGACCCTGGGGACCACAAGCATGCTCCAAGCGCAGATCAATTGGGGAGAACATCACTACGTTAGCATGCAGATAAGCAAAACTCTCAGAAGGGAGAAAAAAAGAAATCAAAACTCCCAAGAGTACATCTTTCTAAACTTTTGTTATTTTCAATTAGAAAGGATACATTGAAACGCTTGCATGAAGGTGGCGAGATCACTTTTCTTTGTCTTGGAATCTACAGGTCCTAGAAGAGAAATTCTGCCCTCGAAATTTAGGATCCATGAATGATCAGTGGCACAACAGAGAATTTCACGGACTGAATCTCAGGCTCCTGGGATTTTCCACATAGGTTTTTATATAAAATTTGTGAAGCTAGAATAACTTTCAAAGTATTTGTTACATGTGCCACGTGGCTCATTGTTATCAAGGATCCTTGAACTGTTGCTAAGCGTTTTGAGAACTCTAGGTTAAAATTTGCCTCTTTCATTCTACTTTTTTTTTCCTGCACCAATCTCTGTAAACATATACTTGAGGTGAACAAACAACTGCTTAAACCTTGCCAGGTGAGTTATAAAGTGTTATGACTGCAGCTTTTTTCCTGAACCAAAGGAACAACCTCAAAGATAATTTTCAATACTAACTATAAAATAGGTTATCTGTATAGCCTTTCCCTGATTATAAGAATATAAAAATATAACATGCTTGTTACAAAATTTGAAAAAATACACAAAAACATAATGTAGAAAGTCCCCTGTAATCCCATACCCTTAAGCTCATAGAACATAATTAAGCCTATGACCATAACACATTTTCAATGTGCTTAATATCTTCCATAGCCTTACCTAGTTGTGATGGTACTACATCTATATGATTTTGTTTTGCGTTTGCTTTTTTCACCCCTCTATTGTATAAAATAGGGATATAGGAAGTTTGAAGAGGAAATTAACCTATTTTGGGTCATTCGTCCATAGTTAGAGCATCCAATGAGTTAAAGATGCAAAAGCATTGTTCTAGGACTTTTTCACAGTCATCTTTCCAGTTACTGATTACATCCCAAAGCCAGGAATCCTCTTTCCACATCTCTAAGGCTCGGCTTTCCATGTTCCTCTCCCCTGTACTCCAACACTTCCAAAGTCGTAGCTCCCATGTAAATAATCCCCTCCCACCTTCACCAACTTCTTAAAGACTTTCAGCAATATAGGCCGCGGACCCAGCAAGATACGATGCCACATACTATATTTCAGTGTTTAATTTTTAATTGTAATAGAAATGTAAATCAGGAAAGTTCCAATGCTTCAAGACATTATGCACTTAAATACAGGACTTGCTCTTAAAAAGGCAGTACAGGGATAAGAGGGACAACTTAGCTCAGATCTACTTTACATCCAAATCATACATAAGCTATTTTGGAAAACCAACCTTTGGGTGCAATCATAATGTAGTATGTACATGTATTTTTAAGTTCTAACATCTTCTGCATGCACCACGTAAATCTGAAGAATGGAAAAAAAAGATGACCAGAACACATCTACATGTTACCAATAGGTAAGAAAATAATTACTAACAATAGAGGAAAGAACAGTTCGTTCTATAAAACTGTTGCTGAAATAAAGAATTGTTGATATTAACATAGAGCTAATACTAGTTTTTCCAAATTCCTAGGTTTATAGGCAATATGGCTAACCACAGTTTTTCAGGATCATTATTAAACTTAACTTTTAGGAATTTTAACCCCGAATGTTCTGAGACACTGAGTAACTGAACTTTTCATCCCTACTAAAAAAAAGCCTACATGTGGAGTTGCCAGCTATTCTACAGGAAATTGAATCACCACACTAAGCAGCACACCTAAATGTCATCTACAGCTAGCAGGACAAAAACCATGAGCTTGTTTAACTTTGCATGTTACCAAGAACACAAACCTGTATTCATTAAAAAAATGTTTTTCTCCCCGGAGAGTAGCATTCACTGTGTGCATGCATGAAAACTCCTCTATTTCACTGTCCAAAATCTTGTTGAAACAAGGACCTCCAGGGAGAAAAACCCCCAAGCAACAAATTTGGATAAATTCCATAAAAGCTAGGAGAAAACTATAGAACAGCAATGGAGAAATAACTTGAGCCTCTGGAAGTCCCCTCCTCCAGCAGCATTGGTTTTCTTCAAGGCCCCCTTGAACTATGTAACACCCGTGGTTCTGCTCAGGATCGTGTGTGAACAAACAGTTCTCAATTCCTGCAGACCAGCACTTGGCTTCCGTCATTGTGATGCGATCAAGGGTTCCCCTGACACATGGCCTGAAACAGTGCCAGGGGCTCCAGAAGATGCTGAAGCAGCAGCTTCCCTTTGAGAAGGAAAAAAAAAGTAATTGCCTCAGAGCCACAGCAGTTAGCTGGAGGTTGAGGTCGTTTTCTTGTGAAATGTTCAGCCAATTACTGTTACCCACAACTTACAGCGCAGTTGACCATTGAGGTAAAAGGATCCACACTCTACATGATGTGTAACTGTGTGGATGTTGGTTTCTTTGCCAACACTTGAATGATTAAAGGTCTGTATAAGTTTGTCATAATTCCTAGATAGGCCTATTGGTGTAAATGAAGAAAACAGGTAGAAAAAAAAAAAAACATCGCTTACTATGAACACCATTTGCTTACACTTAAAAAATAAACTATAACAGTTTAGATTTTGCTTAAAACAACAACAAACACTTCACTAAACAGTTCCTAAAAACAAATACTTATATATCTTCCTAACCCACTCCAGCTTCTCCTCTCTTCATTCCCATCAACATTTCCATTTTGTTCCTAAGAATGAAGTCTATGGTGTCTAAAGTAGGCGGAGCTAGAGAAGAACGGCTGCTATTTCACCATGTATTGCTTTGAGCTAGTCACCCTCTGAGTTCACTATAGTAAAAGATTTGTGCAGGTTAGCTCTACATTTTGCTGACTGATTTTTTTGCCCTCCATGCATTTATCTGATGGGAAATACATGAAGGAGTTGGATTCGCTTTCAATGTGTACATGTAACAGGTTTAAGCAGAGCTTGCCAGTGGCAAGCTGCTCTCATTTCCAAGTGTATTTCTGGCATCAAAGTTCTTGTTTTGAAGTATTTTAAAATCTTATGAAATATATAAAATTTCACTTAGTACTTCAAAAAACCTCCAAAGGGAAGATGTATGTAATTTTGTGAGTTTTTTTTTCCCTTTCATCTTCTATCTACAAGTTTTTCCCCTAGTGCTCTGCCTAAGGTGCTAGTAGAATTTTAAAATGAAATAAATGCAAGATTGGATTTCAGTGATTTCTAGTGCCCCCAGTGTTTCAACAAACATAGCACCAACTATCTGTCAATGTACTTTATTAAAGTCTGCAAAAACAAAATGACTAAAAGTATATCCCTTATCCAAGGAAAGCCTGGTTCAGTGTGCTATACTGTAGAACAAATTCAGAAAGAAGGAAGCACATGGGAGAATAAAAGAGGGCTATTAAATCAGACTGGGACAGAGGGCGAGTGGGAAGAGGCTGAGTCTTAAAGAATCAAATAGGAAGTAAGTAAAGAGAGGGAGAAAGATTTCTAAGAGAAACAATATGAGCAAACATACAGGCCTATATTCAGTAAGACGTGTGTGTGTGTGTGTGTGTGTGTGTGTGTGTATGTAGAGAAAGAAACTACCATGAGCAGGGCCTCGCTCAGTGGGAAAGACGTAAACCCACAGACACTGGCCATGGGAGTCCTACCAGGCATCCGCCGGGAGGGGTTTTGGATTGAACTTCATGAGTAGGAACCACTGAATGATACAAAGTACTGCGTGATATGGGATCTGATTTTACTTAGATGGAAAATTCTAGGGCTCTGTAATAAATGAGACTGAAGGAGGCAAGGCTGAAGTCAGTGAGGCTGTTATCTTTGGCTGTATTATGGGTAGAACAAAATTAATAATTTATAGAACATTTGCTTCTCTGATGATTCTTATCTAAGAC